AAACGATAACATTAAATTTGTATTTAGTATTTTGTAAGAACTTATATTTTATTTTAGTATAATAAAGTGTTTAAATCTACTACATTACAAAAATTAATTTTTAATTTCTGTAATCTATGAAAATGTCTTTATCATTTCTAGTCAGTAAAAATATTTTTAGTAATAATTTATAGATAATGATAAAAAATACATTTTGAGTTAAACTCTTTGTTGCCAATGGCCATAGTTGCCGAGGCTTAATTCAAATTAAAAAAAAAAAAAATACATTTCGTTTTTCAAAAACCAAAAAGTTTGATTTCCTTATGAGTTCTTATATACGAGTCAATACGCGTGTATAAGGAGTATTTAAATTTTAAAGTGTTATTTTATAATGACCTAGTCTTATTTTTTTCTGGTAACTATACAAAAAAATATTTAGCAAAATGTAAATGCACAATGAAATAAAGCGTAATGCATTTTTGTCATTGCTGAAGTACTTTAGATGCGCATTAAGACACCTACACATTAAAATTATTTTTAACATTTAGTAGGTGACATTAAAATTTTACTGCTTTTACGTTTATTCTAGATAAAATTTAAAAAATACGTTTATTTAGTTTTGTCAATTTTTGAAAAGTACTAGATACACCAAAGCAGCCAAATGCAATTATTTACAAGTTCAAACGTTTATTAACACACACTTTATTATAATCTTTTATTACCACACTCAAAAAAACATAAACCACTAAATAAAAACTAATTAAATCTGTCAGTCTCGTGTAATTTATACTGATTTAAAAAACATTCAAAACTTATGAGTACCCAATTAGTAATTATAATGTCAAAAACTGTAGCACTAAATAAATCAGCATTCAAAATGCTGTGATTAAAAGATATTATAATAATAATAGTTCATTTTGTTAAATACATTTTTAATTTTAATACTATATAGGCTTGAAAATTTGATACGGAATCACTCGTAAAATATTATTATTGGAAATAAAAACAAAAAGTTAGAGTAAGCATGTGGCTTATTTTCAACGAGTGTTGACGTACACATTTTGTCGAACGATTTATTCTTCAAACGATTTATTTTTATTTTGTTTTAGTTCAAAAGACAATTTCTTAGAAATATTGTAGAAACTTAAGTCATTTAACTTTAGGTATTACTTATACTATCTATACTTATCTACACAGCAGTGAAATTTTCAAAATATTTAGACTAATATTAATTAGTTTATATTTTGTACGCATTTGAAGATTGAATATTTTTTTGTTGAAAATGTTTTATTAAAACCGTTTACAGTTCAAATGTTGACGAAATTCCCTGAGCTTAGTGATACGGTTAGTTTTAAACTGGTTGAAGACACATGATGCCGACAATCCCACCCTTGGTAACTATAATTTTGCACTTAAACCTACAAAGACGTCCAAATTATGAAATTTTTAATTAATTACGTACTAATTATTGCTTGAAAAAGCTGTACATTTTGTTCGAGGATAGAGACATTTACTTCATACAACTATACCTACTCAATGACGAAACACGATGAAAACCTTTACTGTAGCAGAACAGACTAGATATTAATTAATTAATTATAATATATAAATTAATATCAAAAATAAATGTCACTGTTTATACAAAAAAATGGATCACTATGTTATGAAACTTTCCACGAGCACCTACGTGACTAAATCATAATTAAGTAAATGTTGATCCCGAAATAGTATACATAATAATTTTATTAATTTATGTGCAATGGCTGAAAGTGGAACAAACTTACATTTGGTATGTGTTGTGCTATGGAACTATTCACAAATTCAACTTTTTTTAGCATTCCGGAAAAGTTGCACACAAGTATTTTTACACAAATATTTTTCCTAAAATAAAACTTTTTTCAGAAGAAGTGCATTTTTTTCAGTAAAAAATAAAAATCATGCATGAATTAGGTACTTTTTATTTTTATTTTATAGATTATCACAAAAAACTTTTGTAAATTATTATTTAGATCACAAAGGCACAGTATGACATTTTATAAGCAAGTCTTATTAAGAACCTCATACCGAATTTAAATTAGTAATTTATAATTTATAATTAATCTCGGAAAAAAAGTATAATTAAAATATTATTATAATATCAAATATAAATATATGAATAGATGTAAAGTCTAATCGATGTAACATTTATAATTTAAATTGAAACTATATAATAATATACCATACCCAAAACTATAAATTAGTTATTTTATTAAGACGAATATACAGGGTGATTCACCGAGGATACTCGCCCATAATTTTTCATTTAATAATGAATTTATTTGAATTCTTGAGATTTTTTATACTACTTAGGGAGTGTCCTGTGGTTATACTAACTTCTTTTTTTAAAATGAGAACCCCCTTTTTTAGAGTAAATATATTTTTTTTAATGCTTGATGTAATTACTTTATTAATTCAAATTAGTAGATTGTATTTACTAAGATGTTTATATAAAGAGTATAAACTATAAAGATAATTATACTTATTAAAAATGGATTTAAAAAAAAATATAAAATATATCCTAATATTGGATCTAGAATTCACAATACACCTGGAACATTTTAACAAATTGTAAATGTTGATAGATTAATATTAATAATCTACTAAAATGATAAAGTCCCCATAACCATCATATTTCCCAAACCCATTAAGAACCTGCCCTTATTATTCCTTAGTACACAATATCAAATAACTCAAAAACTACTCATTTGAATTTCGATTTTGATACTTCCATATACTCAGAAAAATTATTCACTATATTAAGTAAAGTAGATAAGGACATTTCATTCAAAAATACAAGCATTTATTACCACAAGCCTTTTTTTAAATAGTAAAATAAATCTAATGAATTTTAAACTATGAACTGTTAGAGTTTTAATATATTTAAAAATTCCAAAAATCAAATTTCAAATACCTATCTATATAATTGTATAAAACATGGGATGAGCACGGTTAGTGAATCACCTTGTTTATGACAGTTTTTAGTTGAAATATTGTTGTTGAATAAGATTAATTTTACAAAATTCAACAGTGTCTAAAATCCAACGTAGAAAATGTGTGCTCACTATACCTTTATTTTATTCAATTATTATTAGAATAAAATTTAAAATTATGGTCATAACAAATTTTGAAGTATATGAAAAATTTAAGTTGCTGCCGAGTGATTAATATGTAAATACCACCATTTTTTTGAAAACTTGAATCACATTAATAAAACTGTTGGCAAGAACATCGCAGAATTAAGGCGCCACATGAGTAGTAGATATCCTAGTCTCGTATTATAATCATCGTTGACTATGACAAATAAACAGAAGCATACAATTGTATAAAAAAGTAATTCAAGAAATTCAAGTTTAAAAAAACACCATAAACGCATTGTCGGTGAGTATAACTAAACTATAATACCACTAGGCAACTAATAGACACTTCCTAAATAATACATTTAGCAGAATATATATACCTATATTACTTATTATATACATTATACAGTCATATATAATCTTTTAGATTACGAGTGGAGGGATATATTGGCTTTACAGTGTGTTTTTTGTGTGTCCACACAATTCAATTTATTTAAAATATTTACTGCATTTCATAACCCAAACTTATTTACATCTTTCTTATAGATCTGTGATTTGTACAATAAATATCCCCAGACTACAATAATATTACTCACAACCACATGAAAATAATTGAACAAAAATATTTTAAACGTTAATAAGTGAAATTACTACATTTTCAATATTTAATTACAAATATATAGTATACACTAATAGTATGGGTAAACTTTTCATTAAAAAAATGTATATGTAATAGATCATTTTCAAACATTACTAATAATTTTATTTTTTTATCGAGTTAAGGCTTCAACTTCTAGGGTCATTAGTCTGAGGGTTATTAAGAAGGTTTTTAACTATGGGGGAGGGTAAGGTAGATTAGAACAGGTGTATATTACATGGCAAATAATAATCGGAACGTAACTTCGATACAACGCAAAAAAACTGTGCCGATGTTTGGATTATATCTATTTTCGTACTTAACTTTGAGACGCTTCTAGTATGCAGCCCAAATTTTCCGGTAAAGCACTATTGAGCATAAAACTGTTGAGCATAGAATATTTTATGTGATGATGCCGCATTCACGTTGCCGACATTTTGTAATTTGTTATTTTCACGTATTACACCAATTGTTATGATACCCGACGCGAGCCATGAGCCGAGCCCATCTTTATCGACAATGTTAACGATTGATAAATTAGTTCCGGACCTAAAATTCATCTTTCAACCAATATTTAAATCGTAAGAATACGGAATCTCTACTAATGTAATTAAACCAACTTGGAAACAGATACCAAGGCATATCAATTAAATGTATTATTATAAATTTCAACTTACGATTGGCAGTAACCAGAAAATATGAATATTTTATCATTGTTATTATCAAACAGATCTATATACTATTAAAACGTGACTATATTATTATTGACTAATATTGATTTATAAATATTTTGATTTTATTATTTTCATAGGCATAATTATTATGTCCCTATATTATTATTATTATGAATTATTACTATCAAACAGATCTATACAATATTATAATGTGACTATATTATTGATGTTATTTATTGTTTGACATGTTATATTTTGAATTATTATGAAGAATGATTATATAATTAAATATTTTTGTATGATACAGTTCAAGATTGAAAATGACAACGTTACAGTTTCTATGTTTAATCGTGTAGCAAAAAAAGTGTTTAATGCTCAATCGTGTCTCAGCCAAATGTTCAACCAGTGGCGAAAATGCCTAGGTGCAGGAGGGCACTTGCCCCCTCCAAAAAATATAATTTTGTGGGAGGTTTATGTGTACCTATAATCTATATGGTGGATTCTAGAGTCTAGACCTAGTAGATGGTAAATGTCATTGAATTAATAATTATGTTGTAAATTTAATATTGTACTGATTAACTTTTGGAACTCACAATGATTAATGATGGTTGGTGAGTACCGGACGGTAAATTTCTAGTAAATATATTCAAAAATAAAATGATTTACTCCACTTACTCCACTGTTGTCTACCCTAATAATAAAAGTATAATTAACTTACCCGGGTGTATTATATTATTATGGCATATAATCGATATCATCTATCACGCCTTATTGACAATATAAATGATGTATAATAATTAAAAATTATGAGAATTATTTATAAAAATAATGTTTAGCAGAGCGTGGTTTCGATCCACGGACCTCTGGGTTATGGGCCCAGCACGCTTCCACTGCGCCACTCTGCTTGTGAGGAATGTACTTCGGCCATGTATAAATATGTACAAAACTGATAAATAGCCGATAAATAAACACATTTGAATACCCAGTTTAAAGCATATACGGTTACAATTGTTGTTCACTTGTCTATCTCAAATAGTTATTACATAATATATTGATACAGTATAATTAGGTAGTATAGGTACCTCAACGTATCTATAACTGTGTATTTATAACGTACGATACTAAATTTCCATATAGCAACTCCAGTACTCCACCATCTGCAGAACACTTAACAATTATTGAGTACTTTTGTGTGCAAACCCAATTTCTATATTAAATAAAGGTAACAATAACATAATACGTTGTGTACATATACGGTATAGATACCTACGCGTTTTAGTGTATAAAAACGACTGTATGTTTGGAAAAATAAGAGTGCCCGAAATACGAACACCGGCCGTTAAGAGCGACGAGGGTCTCGCTGGCTAGTTATAAACGGCATCGAAAGCGTCGCCAGGGGGGTATTTTAATTTTTCGTCGACTGTTTAAGACGAGATTGTTATTTTAATTCACTTGCAAATTTTGTCTCCGACCACTCATAGCAATAATACAAGTTCACTGCCAAAAATCACCCGATTAAACACGAACAACGAAATCGATACAACGAACCAACCAGGAGAAACCGGCCCAACCATTCCATCAGAAGATACCGTATTATGCGATCCAGTCGGCGTAGTAGAATTAGAAGATATTACCGATGACGTCATGCAGCCCGAAGTGGAATCACTAGACGAGGTCGTGTCGTCTCTTCTTCTAAACGATGTCATCGAGACGTTGTGCAAAGATGTAGTTTCGGAACTGGCCTGCGGAGACGAAGTATCGCATCTCTCCGAAGCGCCCGGGTCGTCCGGGCAAGATGCGATGTTGAACGTCGGCCCGGAGGAGCAGGCTGCAGATGAACCAGTAGACGAGTTAATAATGTTAGTGGAAGACGTGCCGGCCGAGGCCGAAGCAAAAGTGGAGGAGTCGGGTGAACTGGAGCATCCGCCATCAGACAAGAAATGCTGCAAACCTCCTCCAGGTGGGCGATCACGGAGGATCGTCGCCACCGTCTGTAGGGGAGTGAGACGTGTAACCCGTCTTCTGATGTGCGGTTGCCTCCGAGGGGAGTAACCCGGAGTTCACGACTCCCTCCTCCTTGGCCGAGGAGCATCACGGCCCAAGACGGCGGCACACGTAAGGGATTGACACGGGAAAGAGCACACGGTAAAAGGCGGTATGTCGCCCGAATACGTCCCCCGGCCACTCGCGACGCGACGAGTTAGCGGTTGTTGGCGTCGCCTGCAGTGACGCACGACGACACGGCTCGGCGGCTAGTTGTACCGGCGTGAGCACCGATTCCGCCCCGGCGGTACTTCGACGATGGCAGAGCGTGCACGAAGGCGAGTTGTGCCGTCGGCGGTGGAGACTTTAAAGCACGACAAGTGCGAGTGATAGAGCTAAGCTAGGAATTGGAAGTCGCGGCATCGCCGGAACCGCGGAAATTCGATTATGAGTTTCAGGGTACGGCGGCGCGAGACTCTCGGACGGCTACCGGCTTACATTTATTTTTGTATTGTACTTTTTATTTTAAAATAAAGTACCCACCTATTTGTATACTATTTAAAAAATAGGTACTGATTGTCGATCGATAATATATTTGTTATCTCTACAATACCTATAAAAGTGTTTAAAATTGTATACGTTCAACAATGTAGAAACTGAAAATTATTTTATCTGGTGATTCAATGATCATGAGTATTCATGACATTTCATGTTGTATAAACGCGTTCATAGTTCAGTTTCTGAAATATTAATTATGTGGAGCAATCGACAATCACAAATTAATTATTGTTATTGATAATAATCCAATGATATAAACCAATATAAAAGGCTAAAAAAAGGAATATTTTACTAATTAAGGATGAAAAATGCATAATTATTGTTAGCAGAGCGTGGTTTCGATCCACGGACCTCTGGGTTATGGGCCCAGCACGCTTCCACTGCGCCACTCTGCTTGTGAGGAATGTACTTCGGCCATGTATAAATATGTACAAAACTGATAAATAGCCGATAAACAAACACATTTGAGTACCCAGATTAAATCATAGACATTTACATAATTACAATAATTAAAGTTTAAAAATTAATCAATCAATCATTTTCATGTGGTCGTAACTCGTAAGTAATATTGTAGTGTGGGGCGGGTTTTATTCCGATTACCCTATATGGTATATACATTTATAAATGTTTTAATATTATAATTATTATGATATATACTATAATATTATATTATAATAACTCTTATTTTATAATAGATAAAACAATAAACGATTATTAAGATATTGTCAGTGCATCGCAAAATTTGAAACAAGCATGATAATCTCAGATTTATTTACAGTACATTCCAATAATTCATATAATTACTGCTCTCGTTCAGGTAATTGAAGAAAAAATATTTTTAATCTAAAATTCTATTATTAGGGGCAGTTATAGAATATTGTATTTTAACGACTTACAAATATAGATTATATTATTATATCATGTCATTTTTTGTATTCATTTACCATTTTAAATATGACATTTGTAATGAATTTCATAATGGTTTATTCTATGCATCTTAGTGCTTTATTTTTAAGTAAGACTTGAATAGTATACACATTTAAAAATAAAATGTACTCTCAGATCACAATATTCCATATAGTTTTTTATATTTCAAATTTCAAAAGATAAGTGATATTTTTAATAAATCAAATTGTCATAGAATAAAGTGGTTTTTTTTATACCTAAATTAAAACTAAATAAACAAAATTTAATAAATGTGATTTTAGTTACAAACATACAGTAAAACAAAACTGTATTATTTTAACAATTTAATTCAAAGACCTCGCAGTGTTTGTTTAATAAACTACACAACTGAAGAATATAATTTGTTTTAACTGAATTTAAATGTGTACCATGTGTGTAATTTAAAAGTTGTTAGCTACCTATGTATAATGTATATTCAAAATGAACGCTATACTTATTTTTACTAATTTTAGATTCTGAGCAGAAAGATAAATATATTGGTTAGTGACATTTTACAATGATGATGTAGTTTTTTTTTGTCTGAAGACATCTAATTATAGTTTAAAAAAACGTTCCTATCTTTAACATTTAAATCGTTTCTGGTAAAAAATTGAATTTTTTTTGTACTTTATGGTTTTTAAGAACCTGCACTTTCTAGTACTTTTTAAAATAGATGTGGAAAACAAAAAAAAATTAGAGAAAATCAGGAATTTTTACTCAATACCAGTTTTCAACAAAATTTATTTTGTTTTTTGTTATAATTCAAAAACACATAACCTAAAGAACAAGAAATTGTTAAAAAATATTTATATATGAATTTTTAAGACGTTGTTATAATTTTAACAATTTTTTTGTCTTTTTTAGTTTTCATGCGACTAATGTATGATATAATTTTTGTTTGTGGGTGAATTATCACGAACATGTAATATAAAGGTCCTCGCAAGTTTTTCTTACCACAACTAAAAATATCAAAAAGACATATGCTCACAATTATTTATTATTTTATTAGTGTTTAAATTTTAACAAAAATCATCAAAATTGATAAATTGTATCCCTCAGAGGTATGAAATTAATGTAAGATGTAACACAGAGTTTCTCATAATTTTCTTTAAAACAACAAAAAAAGTTGTAGTGTAAAAGCCCTTTCATTTGTTATGAGTGTTTGAATTTAATTAATCATCAAAATTGTGTAGATATATACATATCCTTTTGCTGACAGAGTAGGTAAATAAGCATGTAAGAAAACATCAGACCGTCTCCACTCAGGATCGTTCTTCATCGTGCACAATGATTTATCATTAATTATTATGTTCGTGTTGAACACGCATCCGTTGCAGCCTACATGTAGTTAGTTACTCATTGACCAAGAGAAAATAGTTATTTCAATTGAAGTAATAACATTTTCTTTTTCACTTTATTATAAAAATTTTACCAAGGTCATCACCTACGCGATAATTGCGTACAGACATCATGATTTATTTTAGCAATACATAAATATCTAAAATAGTCCCACCCTGCAGTTTCATTTGTATAATCGCAACTCCCAAGGTTAGCGAAAATAAACATATTTGAAATATTATGTTGTAAATTAGGTACTTGTGGCGCAAATATAATGATTTTAGTTAAAAACCTTCCGAAATTGTTAACATGCTTTCTCAAGCAATACACGAGTAATATATCATATATTTAGAGATAGGTATATTTCTCCTGACTTTCTCTGACAGGGCCAAAACTAAACTTATAAATATTGACTTGAGCCCCCGAAAGATCCCTTAGATGTGTACATCCACACATTTATTTAATAATCGTACACGATAATACGATATAGATAATAATCAACTTTGTCTTGTAAATTGATGTATGTCAAACTTAAATTATTGCGGCAGGTGGTTATTTTTGTAAATAAATACACAATAAATATAGATTTTGCTACACAGTTTAGTTAAATTTATAAGACGCGGCTGTACTGCACCAAATATTAATTAGGCAATTAAAGTATTTTGTACTATGCATAAACAAAAGTAAAAAAAAATTAATATTTTTAAAAAATGTTGACAAAACATATTAAAAACTTGATAAGTAATAATATATTTTATGAATTTGAAATTCAAAATTATTAATTGTCATAAAATAAATTAATAATTTAAGCAATTTAACGTTTTATAATCTAAAATGTTTACTGTTTTCAATTTAGGACTGTTTGCATGTATACCTAGTACTATATTATTCTCAGTCTCCAGTTCTGGGATATGGATGAAACGTTCTCTTCAATGAATAGTTATGTTTGTTGACGCCACTAGACGGGTGTTTATTTTTTTGTCAATACTTAGATCCATGTGTGATCAAGTTGCGAACAGTGAGCCTCATGCGTCCTGCAGAAGAATTTATCCAGCCCGCAGACAAGAAAAAAAAAATTAATTTTGATTAATTGCTTATTCGATATTTATTTTTTTATTGTTATTGTGTGAAATCCCTGAAATTCCTTAATCCTGAAAATTAATATCATGAGTAACATAAAATACGTTAAAAAATGATGGAACTAAGCCCGTATATAGATTTTCAACGTTTTCATTCATATGTGTAAGCACTAAGCACCTATATATATTACAGAACGAGCATATATTATTATTTTTAAGTTTATTCTTAAATTCAGATTTTTTTGATTTGCAAAAACATTTATTTATTAAAATGTATAATATTAATAAACATTTTTATGAATAAGATGTTACTATTATTCATGTATCGACGTACAATATACATCATAAATGTAGTAGGTGCCTGCCTAATTTACTATACTGCAGAGACGCGTGGTGCACGTCGTGACTTAAAAGCCACGAATAACCGATGAAGTTATGCAGTCAAACACTCAAACATACGAATTATTAAAGATAGACCTACCCAGTTAAGCGTACACCGCTGCGTAATTTCAAAAAACAAGACGTTAGTGGGCCTTGAAAAGAAATATGCATTTGTTTGAAGTAATCCGTGGGAAACGCCGATTTACTCACATACTCGGCGAACGAAGCATGTAAACGGTCGGAATGGCGCTTACGGGGTCAACTTTGGTAAACAAGAACATGTCATGCGGAAAATATGCAAACAATTCGGGGTCGGACGAGGCCGCGAGGACAAGCGGGGGAGAACGCGGCGCTCTATTTTCGTCGACGCATTCTTTGCGGCCTCACGGCGGCGGCAGAGGTGGCGGCCATACGAATCGCGCCAAAAATACGAAACACCTATTGCACCCGCCGCACCGTTCGTGGATTTCACGTATATACAGATATACTGTACATTACATATTATTATAGTGTTGACCGCCGCCGCCGCTGCCGCCACGCAATAAAAGCTCCCGAGACCTCTGCTCGTGCGGCTCTCCCCCGCGCGACGAATTCCATTCACGGCAATCGTCAAGAAACATTCCTTCCCAAAATCCAGTAACCTAAATAATATTATAATCTTTATTTAAATATATATGAGACACTATAACCGCGTTAGTGCGTTAATATACTTAATATGATCTTCGTTATGTTGAGACGTTTGGAATTTAACGTGACTCCAACTTTATATGTGGAAGAAAAAACTGCATTAACTACGCCTGTGCAAAGCAATAACTACATTATATATGGTCTATACATAGTAAACACAATTATTACGGGGTACATTGATCTCACAGATCACGATGGTCAATAATGATCATATTGATTTTATTTATACATTGTATTGTTTTAGCCAAAAATAGTTTTCGATATTTGGTTGGTAGATTATAAACCCCATTCCTCAGGTTTAAGAGTTACACGAAATGGTGACCAAGAAAAACACGAGGAAACAATGAAAAGCATTATAGTATGTACCAGCCTATAATATTATAATCTGAATTGTGAAATGAAAAATATGAATAACACCGTGAATTTACAAATTATAAACGATAAAAACAGAAATATTCGAAAAGACAACTGAACCGATAACGAAATTTTTAGTTCGAATTTAAAATTAAAAAGAAATTTGACATACTCGGCCTTATAAATGTATTTGATGGATTTAAACCAAAATAAAATTACGTATACGGGCATACGGCTATACAACAATGAAACTGGATGTAATATAAGTTGTTGTTGAAAACATGAAATTTTTAAGTTATGTTCTATGTACATTGTACATATAATAATATAATATGTGATATTATATACATATAACATTGTACATTTTGGTGGTTTTATTACTTATCTTGTAACATAGTACACTTAACATGCACAATTCATTGAATTCAATTTGTTCTTGACTTTCAAAATCAGAATGACTGAATCCTAAATTTATACCGACAAGCTGTTGAATGTATATGAATACTATTATACATTTGTATATTGTACCTCTTATCATTTATGGAAATTCTAAGAAGAGATTAAATATTATAACAATATGTCAATATAAGTCGAACACTAGCTATATCGTTTTTATGATTCCAGTATTCCACCGTTGAATATTTAAAAACTAAAATTTGGAATTTGGAATGAATTCTATATCAGGAACCGTAAAGTTATATGTTATAAATTACAGATTGTATTATCACAGAATAACTTTAAATTAAAAACATTTTATAATTAATTTATTGTGTGGTAAGAAATTTGTCGGAAGTAGGAATAAATAAAAACTATATTCAAGTTTTTGAAATAAAAATATTTAGCCCTCCTCAACACGCATAACATAAGCAATGCGCCAATGCTTATTAAGCATAAAGATCAAATGCAGTTGAAATGTTACAATACTAATAATAATTATTAAACTTCCTAGTTCTTCTGTGACCGCAACATAGTAGGGTTTAAGTGATCGGTACAGTATATAATAATAATAATAATTATTATTATTATTATTATTTTTGTTATTATGATTATGAGTTATGGCGATGATGAATTTTACATTGAGTGAACAGTGATGACTGGTGAGAGTCGGTCAAATAACAAAAACAAAACTTTAAAATAACAATAATAATAATAATTATTATTATTACAAGAAGAAAAACATCAACAACCGCGACGGTGCATTGGTCCGTTTGAGCGCGCGGCGATCGTCGAACACGGCGCGGCGTCGTGCGACGTACCGGAGGAGTGAGTGTTATAAAAGCTCGTGTCCATCCGCATTCTCGAAACAGCCGACTGCGGACATCATGGCCAGCACCGCGGTACTACTGAGCAGGTATTCATCGCGGTCCGCGGAACCGCTGCACGACCGTCGCAATAACAGGGTTCCCGTCAACGGAGGGTCCTCAATCGTTCTCGACAGATCGGACTTGTGAGTACCTCATATATTACTATATTATAATATACCACGAGGAGTGTTTCCCGCTAAAAAAATATTTGTTTGAAAAAAAATCGAATTAAATTGCACCAGCGATTTTTTTGTGTTTTAAGATTTTGATTGCAATCGAATGACGTTATATTATTAACACAATGTTGTTGTTGTTACCTATACAGGTTTAGCGTGTCTCCCGTTTGTCCAGGACTGGCTCTCTGCGGCGCTCTGTCCATTTACACGGACAAAGAGACGGTGGCCGCGCTCCGGCCTACGTGCCTGGTCAATTGCGCCGGCGAACTTCCAGACACGCCACTACCGGACACCGTGCACAGGTACCACAAGGTACCGGTGGCGGACACCGTGGATACCGACCTCGGACCACACATGGACACGGTTACCGATCTCATACACCAGGTACAATATACCGACAACCTACATAATACACAATACCTACCTACCATTATTATTCAAATTGATGATGCACTGACACACCAATTATTTTCAACGATTCAGACCATAACACTCTCCGTGATTCAAACAACCCACGTAAAGCGCATATAGTTACACCTAGTGTGTTATATTTATGTATGTATTCAAAGTGCACTGCACTATCCTCTGTCCATCACTCGAGTGAGAGTATTGATATATGTTGAATACATATTATAATTTATACATTATAGATACTGATAAATGGTAATGGATTATATTTATAATACATATCAAACAAGCTTGAATTTATCATAGGGAGGATTCTGCGTCAATATTTATTGTGTACGATTTTAAATAATATTTTAACGTTTTTAACGTCATTTTGATTTTGTAATTTAATGGGAATAAGAAATCTAATGAAAAAAATATGTGATCGTGTATAATATACTACATATCTAAAAATAGAGTTGTAACCATTTGGAAATATGAATGCCGAATGGGATTCCAGCCCGACACCAAATTAATAAGTTTAAATTAAAAAACTCATGAGTATACATGTTCTTTAGTGCTATACAATACCCAAGTGACTAAGTCGTGTGCCATACAATTGACATCATTAATATTATGAATTTGTTAACTTTCAATTTAATTAATAATAATAACAAGAATAGAATTCTGCAATAATATTAAAATTAATTGTCTATATTACAACAGCGTTGTTAATTACCCATGCAATAGCATAAAATAGGTATAATATATACTGCGATAGTTTTACCAATTCATTTGATTAGGTAAATTTATTCATTCCAATAATGTTATTAGAAAAATAAAGTTTATTTAATCTTCCAATGAATAAATATTATTTTAATTTGATAATAATGCCGTCTATATTGTCTTATTGTACCTTTTATGAATAATAAATGTACCTAAAAGAACACTACAAGTACATAACATTTATTATTATTTAAGTATTCAGTGATTCTACCTTAGTAAGGAATTATCAAATATATACCTACTTAATTATTTGTCATGTAAAAAAATATTGGACAAATAAACAAACAAAAACAACTATTTACTAAAACTATTTATATTAAATTGTATATGTTCATACTTTAGAACTCTATCAAATAGTTATAAGTTTAAATGTTAACCATCCCATTTATTTTATATAAATATTTATTTAATCATTGAAACCGGTGTCGAATTAAAATGTTTTATAAATTATTAAAGTTATCTAAATTGATACATATATAAACAAAAAAATGTGCACATACGTGATACATTTACTAGTATCGAATATAGGCCAGGGAACACGTAGGATTTATCGCTTGGCGCCCATCCCGGTATGCAATTCCTATGGGCCGTTGGCCCGTCAAACAAGCATGAAAGAAAACGCACTGAAAACCGGAAAATAAGCTGTTGTCAGTTAAAAACAAAAATGGCTGTCAACGGTATTTTGAAAAGTTTCTGCCAGAAACTTAAAAAAAATGGAAATCAAGAGGTAGATATTTATAGGATTGCGACTAGTAAAAAACAAACATTGGGTGTATTTATAAATTCGTAGGAAGAATGAGCAGGTAATACTTGTCCGCCAGCTTAATTTAGAAGTAAACAACAGACATGTGCATCATATTATGGGTGTTATAGCTGTAACCGTAAGAAACGGAAGGTTCTAATTCCGTTTTAAGTATTTTTACTATCTATCGGAACCTAAGGATGTCCAAAAACAAAATTATAAATTGTTACAACATTATTTTAAAATTATATATGCCATCATTCCAATGGTTACATATATTACAATGTTACAACATTAAATAATATTTTTAATTCCGAAATTATATAAAAAAAAAACATTATTGAACCAAATTAACATAATATTGAGTATGTTAATAGCTATGATTAATAACACATTCGATATTTTTTATTTTGTTGTAGGAATATATTTCTGGAGGTACGACAATAATACATTGTGCAGCTGGAGTTAGTAGATCAGCTGCTTTTTGCATAGCATACTTGATCAAGTATCGTTGTATGACCATGAGTAATGCATATCGTCACGTAGCCAAATGCAGACCTTGCATAAATCCAAATACAGGATTTATCAGTCAGCTAATAGAATTCGAAGGAAAATGTAGAGAGGAATAGCTGTGAATAAAATAATGTTTATAATACACAAAAATCATTCCAAACATAAATTATAATTGTATTGTATAGCTAGTATTGTAAGCTTTTTAAATGTCTTAATAATTCCTACAGAATTATAATTTTCGTTTAAAATTTTAAAATGGTAAATGTTATATGTCTACTATTATTTAAATTATAGGATATACCTAATACCTATATAATATATTTTATCCTTTAAGTACCTATTATTTATAATAAATAATAATGTAAATATACAAAATTTAAACAATCTAGAAAACAATTTCAATGTCCATATGTACCTATATACCTATTATACCTACATCCTATATATCTATATACCTATACGACTTATATTTTTTATCATACCTTCATAGTTCATACCCTGCAGTTCGTTTCTATTGCACATAAACGAAACATTAAAACAACACTAAAACACTATTAATAAATACTATCCATTTAACTGATTTAAGAAATCCTAAATCATACCTATATTGCATATTATCGTTTTGCTCCACTAGTCCACTCACTTTAGCGCGAATTATGTATAGGTACAGAGTGTCCCGTACTCCCGTGAGGATTTACCCATAGCGATATCTTCTGAAATAATGGAGATATCATAATTCTGTTTTATTTATAAGACTAGTAGGGACAACGTATTTCATATTTTAAAGTTTTGGTAAAAAATTGAACATTATGACGTTTCAAAATAGTATATTCATACATCATACATCTCATGGTTATAAATCTTTTTTTTAGTTTCGAGGAAAATTATTGCGAGTTATTAATTAATACCATCATAGTCATTAATTTAAATATTTTGATATTATCTTGTCTAGTTTTCGAATACCCCTTATCAAATCAGTTGTTGTTCTACAACATTTTATTACAAAACTCTTCTCAAAATTAAAAAAAAATCACGAGGTTAATGAAAATTAAATATTGAGACGTCAACATTTTCAGAAAAATTAATTCTGCATAAAATGGCTATCTTCAATTTTTTTTTTTCAGGAAGTTTATCGCTATGTGTGAATCCTCACGGAATAACATGTACCTATTTATAAATATAGTATGTATCATAGGCGCAATTTGGGGGGGGGGGCTTAGCCCCTACAATATTAAATTAGCCTTTCCAAAAATGTATATTTTAATTGAAATATTAAATCCTTCATTAATTATCTAATCTACATAATACAGTAGTCAGTAAATGTTGTTTGAAAAAAATTGTTTCTAAAATTTAAATCTGGAAGCATGAAAAAAGCCTGTGCAAGGTGCAAGATGCAGAGCTTCATCCTAATTTATATAAACTGTTATAATTATCTTTAACGATTCCAATTAGCTCTGCAACATGTGAAAGATCATTCTCAGCAATGAGAAAGATTAAAAATTGGCTTCGAACATCTATGAATCAAGATAGATTTACAAATTTGTAATTCATTTATATAAAACGAAATTTATCAAATGAATTGTCCAACGAAAAAATATTAGATAAATTTGCAATTTTTAACCGAAGGTTACAATTATAATAAAATACTTAATAAATAAATATATATTACATTTATTTACTTAAATGTTGTTATTTTTTTCATACAAATATTTTTAGTTTTATTAATAGATGCATTTTAATATATTAAATGTAGGAAAGTGGTGAGAAAATATGATATCGTCATATTGGTACTTGAATGGGTGGTGTGGGGGCAGATCCCCTCACTGGCCTGATATAAATACATATGTATAAATATGTTAAGCCCCTCAAAGTTAAAAATTGAAATTGCGCCTATGGTATGTATTGAATGTATATACCCAATGAATTATAAACTCATTATTTTATTAAAGTGAAAAAATATATTATATCTAAATATTATACCAATTTAGTAGGTATTTATATTTTATACTTACTTTACAAATATATTAAATACCTTCTCGATAATTGAGGTGGATAATATACATTTTTTTCATTTTTTAGTATAAATAAATTATATTTAAACATTAAACGCCTGTTTTCTTTTCCCTTTTACAACTGACGAAGATACATATATGGTATGCTGGTATACTGTTTCCACTGCAGTTCTTCTATATAAATGTCCATAGACCAAGGCAATAGGCATATTGAGGGCATTACATACTCCTACATACTTATATACATAAACTAGTGTTGGGCACAGCCTTTAATGACTGCTAATTAGAAATAATCAAATACTTACTAATAATTGATTAAATTTACTATAGCGAATAGCTTAGTGATAATAATGTAGGTAGCCATAAATCACAATATGTTTAGTTGAATAAAAAAAATGAATTCCTATTAGAGAAGTACATAAATTGAATAGATAAATATTTTGCTACTTTTTGTAATTTTCTTGATTATTGAAGAATAAACGTATTCTAACTGGATTATAATTACAAGCTATAAATGCCTATAATACATTAGTATAAATTGTATAACATATTACAGTAACATTATTACACATGTTTGCAAGCATTTAAAAGGAATAATATAACTACCCTATATGGTCATTATATTTATATATACAGTAAATCGTGATTTACGTGTATCATAGTAGAGTTTTTTCTACAGTTTTTTATTAAGTTATAGAAAATAAAACGATTGATGACAGTTGATAGTATTTCGTTAGCTTGAAAATAAGTAGATTAAGTGCATGTGACATCAAGATACGTATAACAAATGACAAAGAAATAAGTGCACAAAGGGTATTTTTAATTTAAACAAATTTATATACATTTTGGATAAGTAGTTCGAAGTATATGTAGCACCGCTGGGTAATTTTCAGCCAGCACCGTGAAACAAATGAATAAATTATTGCCGGAGATTTTTTTTGCCTCATTAATTATTACAAACACGGACGAGGGGAACAAAATTCACTAAAAAAATTTCTTTGCAGTTTGCAAGATAACAAAATTCATACTAACAAATCAAGGTAAAATGTACTGTTCGACTACGAAGTGTTACATTCATCTTTCATTTTAGTTTCGGTACATTTTGGCAATAGCCATGTAGTATGGGCGTTGTGAATGGTATTTTAGTGACGGAAAATAACATTCTATTACGTCACTGTTGCACGCATATTTTTTGTTCATGTCTAATCAAATGAACGACATATACTATACCTATACGTATATGGTTCGGTACATTTACCCTATTTGTCATCCATAACGTCAACTTAAATGTAACACGGTAAAATTTTTTTTATATTAATAATTTACTTAACATTAAAATCAACGGTGAGTGGGATAATAGGTAATAATAGTCAACGGATTATGACAATGTTCCGTCAAAAAATGTTCATTACCTAAGCCAACAACGTATCATACTATTCATACTAAAGTATTTTTAGAGAAATTAAATAAATGTAAAACATCTGAACAAACATTTTATTTAAATTCAAAATAACTATTTTATAACATTTGTTTGATGAAACAACCAATTTAGTTTTAATAATAGAATATACATAACTATTATTGAACGATTGTATGAAATAAATCAAATTACAACAAAAATAATTGAATAATAATTTAACTTAAGAGGACGCTACACTTTCATGTGTTGTCTTCGTCTTATACAGACGCGTAACATAGCAAATTGTACGTTCTGAATAATCAATTTAACTCTATTATGATTAATATTGGAGCCAATTGACCTATAATCAAATTTAGAAATAAGAATATTATCTAGTGAACCTAGTAGAACCTTTTTTTTTATATTTTAATTTTAAAACAAGTTATGAACATTTTAAAATGCATAAACTATTTACAATTTTAAGATACTCATAACTTGTTTTACAAATTTAAATTTAAAAAAAAGCCCAACGAGGTTCACTAGATAGTATTTTTGTTTCTAAATTTTATAATAGGTCAATTGGCTCCAATATTAATCATAACAGAGTTAAATTGATTATGTAGAACGTAATTATTTTTCAATTCAATAGCATTGTTTACCGAAATATATGTTTTCTGATACCAATTTACGGTTGAGCAAAAAGTATTTCAGACAAAAAATATTACGTTATTTATTATATTTGTATATAAAATGTATTATACTATCAAGTATATAACTACAGGTACCTATAAGTAATTATTATATATGCAGATGTCAGAAGAATCTATGTGGTGATGTACGTATGCCTCATTCTTGCATAGTATCACAATTTACAGATGTATGTACATCGGTTGATAATATAGTATATTATATATATATATATTGGTACTATGTAGACCAGGGATGGCGAACCTTCTTGTACCATCGTTTCAAATAAAAATTTTGGTTGGATTTTGTTTTCTCTGCGTGACTGCGTGTCAACTAATTCGATAACCCTTCAATTTTTTTTCCAAAAACTTTAATATTATCAAACTTTTACACATGTGTGTCAATAAAATAGTGTGAGAGTGTCACTCTGTGACACGCATGTCATAGGTTCGCCATATCTGATATTGACTATAAAAGTACTATTCGACATAGCTATAAAAAAAAAAAAAATATAGGCGGTACCGCTACCACGTAACCTACCACTAACAGGTGAAATAAATAAATACTATCATATTTTATAACGGATAAATAAATATATATATTATATTATGTAATGCGTAACAATGTAATGGCATATGGTTTAATATGGGTATAGACATGTGTTTTTTTTTATCGTTTTTCGATGTTATATATGTTTATAACTGAAGAGAGTGACCGTCATTAGCAGAGTGGCGCAGTGGAAGCGTGCTGGGCCCATAACCCAGAGGTCCGTGGATCGAAACCACGCTCTGCTAAACATAATTTTTTTTTGATAATTATAATAAAAGTAATAAACGATGAAGGCCCAACATTCATGTGCAATATAAACAAGTCTTACATTTTTTGTTTCTGACTTTTTTATTTTGTTAGATAGTAGATACTGATCGAACTATCGGAGTAATCAATATGTATTGATTGTGTCTGGAAAATGGATAGAATAACAAGTGCAGAAACGTTTTTTTAAAATATGGTTTTTTGGAATCATGTGAAAACTCATGTGGACATTTTCATACACTTATCCGTATTTGGACGAGTTACAGAATATTGCGTAATTCAAAATTGTTTTTCATCGTTTATAGTTTTATACTATACTTTATTTTATATCAGAGGTATAGTAGGTATAAGCCTCCTCAATAACCTGATGCAGTGGTGCAGATTTATGCCATTTATTTAAATATATTTAAGTTAATTATGTTGACCCCTTCTTTAATATTTTATATTATAGGTGTTTCGAATATAGGTACACGACTTTGTACTTTATTTAATCCATCAATAATTTAAAGAGGTAACAATTTAATATTTTTTATTAAACATTAAATATGCATAAATAACATGACCGTATTTGATATAATATTCAATAATCAATATAAAACTATAGGTACTATAGTTTATTGTATCAATTGTTCGTAATGAAAACGAGTTTGAATAAAAATATTGACTAGGTACTACAATTAATTTATTTAAGATTGAGAGATTTGTTTAGTTTAAAATTTTTAAAAAATATATTTTATTTGATACCACTTATTTTCTTATAAGTAGTTATAATTATTGTACATTTCTTAGGTTAGCTGGGGCTAAATACGTATTACATATTGTTATACATAATTTTTAATAAAATTTATAATATTGAAAAAATGTATATAATATGTAGGCAACCGTAGAACAAATAGAAAATATTAACAATGATAAATATTCAATGTGCCTTTGACAAAAAATTTGAAAAAAAAAGTTGGTATAGATACTTAAATCTGAACAAAAACATGGTATGTTAGTTTTTGATGAAATGTTTATTTGAGAACTTTCAGACTCTCACTAATTGTGGATTGGAAGATTTTGGCGGAGAATAGATTCTTCTGAATTGAAAGCTAATGATGCATTGATTTTTACGTTCCAAAGTTCATCTTTAAATTTTACTCAACCTATAGCAGTCTTTGCTTCTCATGGTCCTGTTAAAGGTACTTAAAATTGAAATAGGTACTGTAATCATGTTATTTGTTTTTCAGATCACTAATAATATTGTTTCAGCAAACTAGTAATAATATAATAAATAACTAAAAAAACATCAGTGTAATATATTAATATTTAATTATGTGCTTTAATTTTAGATGCTTTATTTTATGTTACAGATATTACTACTTTGTGTTCCATGGTTCAAATGTCATCTATCAAATGTCAATTATGAAACAATATTTATTATTTATTAATTATTATAGGTTTAGTTTTAGCCCAATTGGTCATTAAAGCAATATGCTTGTTGGAAAATATTGGAGTTAGAGTTGAAGTTGTGGTTTCAGATGGGGCATCAACCAACCGAAAATTATGGGTTGAGCTTGGCATTAGTGGTCCAAAAGATAAAATGTCCAATTCATTTCAAAACCCCTTAGATCCTAAACAAAAAATTTCTATGTTTGCTGATGCTCCGCATCTCATAAAAAATGTTAGAAACAGGCTCTATAGTAAAAAAAATTTAAGGGTACCTAAATACAATTTTAAAGTTTTAAATTATTTACTTAAGTAATACCAACATTAAATAATAGCTATTTCTAGGAATCTCCAGAAAATGCATTTATAAGATGGTCTCATTATCAAGATGTTAACAATAATGATGTAAATAGAAATTTAAATTTTCCAACAAGAATCTGTTCTAAAATTACATTAAGACACATAGAAGTTGATTGGTTTAGTAAAATGAGTGTTACGTTAGCTACTCAGGTAAATACTAAAAAAGTAAAAAATATATATTTGTTGTCATTAACTATTACCATTGAGTATAGATATCTATAATCAATGCTATTACTTGTTTCTAAATTTTTAGTGATTCTATGGCTAAGGGCATAGAATTCTACAAAGCACTCTGGAGAAGGAATAAAAAGAAATAGTCCTGATTTTCAAGTACATTTGGGCATTTGGCTATATTTAAATATATTATTATTTCACTGTAATTTTTTATTTATTTCACCAGGTGTTAAAAGATAACCTAATTTGGTTGAACCGCTGGGAAGAACAAGTAAAAACTAAAAAAATAACCAAAGGGCAAAGATGAATACTTGACTCTAAACACTGCTGATGAATTACGTGTTACCTTTAAGTCTACATTGAAACTGACAAAATATCTTTTAGATAAAAGTAGATTCAAATATGTTCTAACTTACAAGATGAATCAAGATCGTTTAGGGGTGAGCATAGAGTCAAGTATAGAGGTAATTATTTTTAAAAATCAAAAAGTTTAGGATACCTACTGTACATACTGTAACAATTATAATGAAAATATTTAATTTTATTTGTTTATAGCAATTTTTCAGTATGACTAAGCAGGTTTCTGGTCCCTAATGAACACAGTGTACACCTACATTTCTTCAAGTGTATAAAATGCTATCCTTATCAATATATTCTTTATTAAAACCACCAAAAACTGGAAATTGTAAAAATGTAGAGCAAAGTACACAAGCAATTACAATTGATGATTTTAAGTCTACTGTAAATATTGAAAATGTTTCACAGTGAATTGAAAAGATAGAAACTTTAAAAAAAAAACTTGACTAATTAATAATAAATGTTGTAGAGGTAGATGATATATTTGATAATAATATACATAATTATTACAATGCAAATGTTGAAGATTGTGTGTTGTATTATATTTGTGGCTATATCATCAAAAATCCCACCAAGCAAATAAAATGTAAAGATTGCCTTACTTTAATAACTGGTAAGTATACAAAAATACACCTTTCCTATGAAAATGTATTATAAAAAACTAAATTAAAATATCATTTTGACAAAAACAATTGATTTTCAGGTAAAAAACCAAACTATGATAAACCTGAAGCTATATTTCTTAATTTAAAATCATGAGAAGGTTTGACTTATCCAAATGATTTCATTTTTAGATTATTGACGGCCGTCGAAAATACATTTGCAAGACTTTACGAAAATAATAATGTTTTTTTATTAATAATTGATGACTTTTTCAATAATAATAAGTCTATTGATTTTCCTTGTAAAATACACAAGAAAGAAGTCCTGTCACATATTGTTTCAAATTTTATAATAAATTATGAGGATGAGACAGTATTCCCTCATTAACAACAAAAGAAACCCAAAATTAATGCAAAAAAAAGTTTGCAAAATTGGTTAATACTTATTTAATGTTTATAGTGTTTAAATTTTGTTATACTTATTATTTATTAACCTATTGTTTTAATATATAAATAGGTACATTACATACGATTTTATTTTATTTCTATTATTTCAATAAAATAAATTAAGTTAATTATTACCTGTTCCTTTTATATTAGTTAATGCACTAAATTAACAGTAAATAGTAAAAACCACAATAAGAACAATAGGAGGTACCTACATATAATATTATAAATTTGCTTTTAAAATTTTAATTTATGTAAAATAAGTGTCTCCAAAGTTAATTTTTATTTATTTATTTATTATTACATTTAGGTAATTATGATTTCAAAAAAAAAAAAATAGTGTACAATTTTAGTAAAAACCCAAAAAAGTATAGTAAAAAAATTATTATTTACATAGGTTCCTCCATACTTTGCAAGCTCCTGCTTAAGATGATGTTCTAGAGATGATAGGTACATATACCTAAATTAGTTAAATTATAATGTTATGGTGTTATAGCCTATAGGTACAGTTGTATGAACTTTCTATATTATTAAAATCACAAATTCAGAATTTATGTTGGTGATAAAATATTTGTTGTTGCCCCTCCCACAGAAATATTTCTAGTTTCTACAGTAGATATTTGACAGTAGTTAGGTTGACTTTGAATTTATCTTTTTTACCTTTTCAAATAGAATGGTAGTGTCGTAGTGATGTTTTTGTAAAACTATACTAATACAGACATATACATAGTATTATTTTTTTTTTTAATTATAATTTGCATTTTATTCTAAAATAATTATGGCAAAGCGATTAAAAAATACATTGTATTACATACAATAAACAAAGGTATTTTACGTTCACTTATTAACAATATCATATTATAGTATATCGTTTTATATCATCACTCGGTAATAATATTATTAATATTGGTTATAACCTGCCTCATGAGGTTTTTATTTGTGGCAGTAAGGTTCCTGAGTACGGAATTAGTTTTAATTTTTCATCCCCAACTACATAAGTTGATTATGCAAAGGTTATTGCTGTTTTCATTATATTTACCAACAATGAATATTTCGTCATACATTATTACACTTAATTTATTCCATCTTATTTCAAAGTTTATGTCAGTTTCATTAATAATTATATTTTTCTATAAATTTAATATCAACACAGCCTCTTAAAGTAGTTCATCGCTGAAGATGATAAAAAAAAAAAAAAAACATAATTTAAGTTTAGAGTTTAATTAAAACCCTACATAGGTAAGGTTAAGTTGTATACTCTCCAATTTCTTTTAATTATTGATGTTAGCAAAATTCTGTGATTTACATACACCCGCCTATTAGTTAGATCATGTTAAGGAGTTTATATTAATAAGAGGATGGACTAAGATAAGACTATATTAGTTCATAATATTGTATTGCGACAACACATGTCATTCTCATAAATCATGTCCATATTTAAGAATTATAAATTAACATCAAACAATATTCTACCTTTGTTATATTTTCATTTAAATTATACTGAACATCCTTAGATTTATTTATTTACACATTGGGTACATCCATTGTCTTACAATACAAAAACCAATTATGTTTTGGATTCTTCTTCAAGACTCATAATATTGTGCTTACCCATGACATATCCAGATTTTTTATCCAAAAATGTATTTTGACAATTTTCAGGGGGGTTGTACCTGCAGTGTTGTGATTAACAGTTCCCACCCATTTCCGGTTTTTTGAACAGAAAAAAGGGGGGTTGTACACCCTAACCAACCCTGGATAACACTTAAGAACTTATCACAATAAATAAATTTCAACAAATCAGTGCCAGTTAAAAATAATAATAGTAAATAGAGAACATTTCAAACAATTATATTAATAATTCCCAGCATTTAAACTCTAAATAACACAATGCTATTCTGAACTTGATTTTAAATAAGTTATTATATGTGAATTATGTAAATAATAATAGAACAAATCTTTCTTTAGTAGGTACCCAATTAGATAAGATAAACCATAAATAGAAAATGTTAATTAATTAAAATTTAAGTATACAAGAATAATAATTTGTCAAAAATAAATTACCAAGACATACTTATATTTTTTTTAGTTTATTTGTGTATTATAAATTTGTAATTTTACAATTGAATGATAAAATTTAAAACCAAGAAAATGTTCGTAGTGTTCCTCGGAGTACAAGCAAAATGCGTTTACTTCAACTTCTTCTTTGGGCGCAAGTTGTTAGTGTGTCCACACTTCTTCTTACGGCAGTTAGTTGCTCTTGGGTGAAGACGAGCGTAACATTTGCGGCATATCATTTTATCACAGTTGTATTTCTGGGCCAACAAACGAAGAGTGGGCTCAATAACACCACCACGCAGACGTAATACCAAATGCAATGTAGATTCTAAATAAAAAAAATATTATTAATTTTCCTAGATTTAAAAAGCAAGATCAATGAAATTAATTTTTAAAAGTACCCAATAGATTGATAAAAATGCTTTAGATTTTTTCCAACAAAATAAAAAAAACAATTTAATATTTATACCTATTAATCAACCTATAACAAAATATAATTGCCTAAAGTTAAAATTATTTTAATAAGAATTAGGTAGGTCCATTTAGAAAAATACTCAATAATTGAAATATATTAATATATATATATATATGGGTACCTATCTTTCAATTAAAAAATGAACTAATATTTAACAAAAGTGAAGCGTTATTGGTGTTCAAAATAGAATAAAAAAAATTACAAGAATGGTCAATTCAGAAAATAATCTTGTTAATCTTAATCTTCCCAAATAGGTATTTACATAAAATAAATTTAAAATAAAATATAAATGTACTTCATATTTAATAAAAAAAAAATTAGGAACTAGATCATTAATATTTAACTTTTGTAGTGATGTTCCGGGTAGAAAATTTGTTATTAATCGGGTATCAAGTACTGGCCGAGTAGAAATGTAAATACAAAATGGGTACTACAATACTACAGCAAGGTACTACAATACTACAGCACTATCAACTACCCATTACTGATTGAGAAACTATAAATAATATTAATAAGTCTTTTAACATTCAGTACTGGGTAGTCCTGCAATTATAATAAATTAATAACAAAAGGTAAGTCTGAGCATATACTTAGTCGAACACTAATATAAAAATACAATAAACTGACAAATCGGTACAGTTATTCCAATATGTATCAAAATAAATTATAATTTATTACCCTAGAATTTTAGATTTTTCTAGTAATATTAATTATAGGCATGCATATTACATTTACGCATAGATTATAAGCATTTGCCAGTTACCGGATATGATTTTATAATATAAAATTTAGCCAAGTACCGAGTTAGGACCCGGTAAATATGTAGGTATTAAGACTGTTAACGAGTAAGGATCGAGTGTTAAATATGATATCTAGTAATTGGTGAGTACCCGGAACATCTCTATACTTCAGCATAAAATGAAAGGTATATTATAGTATTAATCATATACTTAAGTGCTTATGAAATACATATAAATAGATAAATTATTATATAATGACATGCACAATTATGAAAGCATACCCTTTTGGATGTTATAATCCGACAAAGTACGTCCATCTTCAAGCTGCTTGCCGGCGAAGATCAAACGTTGTTGATCGGGTGGGATACCTTCTTTATCTTGAATTTTAGCTTTGACATTTTCGATAGTGTCAGAAGACTCGACCTCAAGGGTGATGGTCTTCCCTGTAAGGGTTTTCACGAAAATTTGCATGTTGATGTGTTCTGAAAAATCAAATGTGCAACAAAAATAATTAACATGTTAACATAACCTCAAAACATTTTTTAAAACGTGCCTAAGAGCTTTTCATGACAAGCTCGAACACTTAGCGTTTATAAATAAGAATAATCATTAATCGTAATAGCTATCCAATAAGTATCAAAAACACAAAGACAGCTCCGATTAAAATATGGTCATAGACACAACAAATTTTAACGTTGTCGACGCGTAAGCGTACAATTTATTCCGAACATTAGTCAACCATTGCGACATTGTTGGCTGAGTATTCATCAACTTATTCAATGAGGTGCTTTGAAAATAAAATAATCTGTACAAAACTTACCTTTCAGTTGTGCGCAGACCAAAAGTTTTCCGCAAGTAAATTTCGGAGTATACGAAACGCGAATAGAACCCGCTCGCAAGAAATGTGATTTCAGATTTGTGAAGAAAAGTACACGAGTATACGACGTCGCTTATCAAATAATAAATTACAGACACAGGCTGGCCAACGTCCGTTGTTCACCGATGAATGATGTTATCACATAAAACGAAAAATGTAGTTTGTGGTTGGCGCTAAATAATTAATTATGTTTTCAAATGGTTTAGCAATTTTGTGCTTTTATTAAAGACTCTTGATATAATCATAGAGACATAGAACAATAATTAAAAGCGTTTTGAAAAACAAAATTTAAAAATAGTAATTTGTATGCAAAACCAATTTTTGAAAAAATCGATTTTATCTTTTAAGTTTAACTCAACAATTAATAACTATAGACATTTGAAAATTTCACCAAATATTTTTATTAACATTCTCCATATAAACTAAACAAAATCCGGTATTAAAACAAAGAAATTATATTTTTATTTAATTATTTTGTTTTACGCTATTCAAAATTATTTTTCGTGAGAAAACAGGTAACTTTTTAGTTTTTACTTGTATTATTATGTTTTATATACACATGCGCAATGTCTAAACATTTAGATTAATTTTATGCTATTGCCTGCTTATATTTTATATCATATTAGCTAGTAAATTACTATAATCTATAATAATTAAAAGCAATATATTTATATGATGATGACAGA